CACAGATGTCAAAGAAAACGGAACAGTGACTCAGCAGTGAAGAGAGCGGCTGTCTCCCCAGGGTGCCTGAGTTTCATTCCCAGACCCTGCTTTGGGTGGCTCACAGCTACCTGTGATTCCAGCTCCATGGATCTGATGCATTCTCAAACTTCTGCAAGGAGCTGATTACATGTGACATAAATACATAGAGGCACATAAATATACAAAAATTTCAAAGACAAAAGTAAATCATTTGAAAAAGATTTTCAACCGCATAGTTTGTCATTTGTGGTATCATAAATTACATGATCTATATTTTTGTGGGAATTTTTTGCTGTTGTTCAACACTGAACCATTTCCACATTCTAGGCTATAGAGCCCCTCATCTTATAAAAGAGCATAAAGATAACTTAAGTGATGAAATTCTTTTCTGATTTTTTGAGCTTATGAGCATCTAATTTAGATTCACTTTTAGCATGAACATGGTCTTATTGTCAATAAAATTTTTTTAACTACACATATTTTTTAATTTGAATTAGTGGAAGATTGCTGCTCTCTCTGATTCTCTCTGTCTCTCTCTTACACATACACACACATTGAATTAACGATTTAGGCAACGATGGCAGAAGAATAATACCCCTTTTTCAGATTCAAGAAACAAATAGAGTTTTATAAAAATTACTAGCACATATGCATATACAGGTGGACGTATTAGCGAGTGGGTTGTCATAGCCCAGTCATGCAAACAGCATGGTCTCATAAGAAGCCATTTCCTTGTCCCCATCTGCCTTGCTTTCAGCCTGGAACAGTCAATACAGTGGAATTTTAAAAGCTATGTGAACATTAATCAGTACCATGGGTGACAGGATTATCTGAAGCAGTAGATATTTAATTTCATTTAATATTTAATTTCAACAAACACATCAAGTACACTCTCTCATTAATGCTTTCATTTATCTGCATAAACTATATTACAAATAACAATCATATCATGCAAAAGTCCAATACTTTTCCTCCAATGTTATAAAAAAAAAACTTAACCTGTGTTATTAAAGTCCAGTGAAAACACCCAGATGGTCATAGCATTCAAACAACCCGCTCCATGCTATCCAGAAGCAATATCCTCTATAAAGTAAACTTTTTTAGCCAATGTATAAAAACGAACAATTTTCTCATGTTAATATGGTAATGGGTGATGTTTTAATACATATAAATGCTGAGTTATGCGGAAATCAGATTGAACATATCCCAAATGTGTATGATGAAAACATCTGGACCCTTTCTCCCAGATTTCTGAAATATACAGTATGAAATTATTCTCTTCAGTCACCCTATGTGGTGGTTTGAAAGAAAATGTCCCCCAAAGAGAGTGGCACTACTAGGAGCTATGGTTTTGTTTGAGTGGGTATGATCTTGTTGGAGGAAGTGTGTCACTGTGGAGGCAGGCTTTGTGGTCTCATAAATGCTCAAGCCACGCCCAGTGTCTCAGATCACTTCCTATTGATATGGGTCAAGAGGTAAGAACTCTCAGCTCCTTCTCTAGCATCATGTTCTTCACCATAATGCTTTGCTTCCTACCAAGATGATAATGGAATAACCCTCTGAACTGTAACAGTCACCAAAACTAAATGGTCAGGAGGTCTCTTCAGAGCAATCGAAACCCTAACTGAGACAGAAGTTGGTACAGAGACTACAGTATTGCTGTGATTGGCCCAACCATGTTTTTGTTTGAAGGAATATGGACCTTGGGTTTGTGAATTAGAAAAGCTGTTGAATGATTTAAATGTTGCTTAATGGGCCATTCTAGTAGGAGCATTGAAGACTATGGTTGTTGAGAGATATTTGATTACAGTGTGTAAAGATTTAATACAGAGCTGAATGGCCATTAGCTAGGCAGGAAGCAGTGAGGTGGGACTTCTAGGGACAGAGATCTCGGAAAGAAGAAAGAAGGTGGGATTGCCAGCTGGCTGCAGAGGAAGCAGAACATGCAGGAAGAGAGGTAAAAGCCAGGAGTCACAGGGCAACATGTAGATGAATATAAATGGGTTAATGTAAGTTATAAGAGCTAGTGGGACAAGCCTAAGCTATAGGTGGAGCTTTCACAATTAATAATCAGTCTCCTTGTCATTTTTGTGAGCTGGCAGCCCAAAGAGGAGTCTGATTACAAATGGTGTCCAATGTAGTTGTCCACATTTCGACTTAAGACCAGAGAAAGCTTTAAAAAAGGTTCCAAATACACAGAAACAGAGCCAAACTTGGCTTCTTAGTCCTGCAGTCTCTCATGCAGGTCCCAGATCAGAGACCCCAGTCACTGCCTGTGGGCTTGAGCTGCCAGCTCACCAGGAGCGAAGCTACCCAGTGCTTTATGGTTTTGCTCAAGCAGAAAGAAAAGATTACAGATACCCAGTAAAGCAGGTTCAGAGGGGATAAAACCTATAAACATTTCACAATGTGTTTAACAATGTGTGTAGGTTTAAGAAAAAAAAGAAATAGTGTTTAGTCAATCACAAAAAATAAATAGTGTAAGAATAATGAAGACTTTGAAGTTAGAAGTAAATAATAATGATAATAATAATAATAATAATAATAGAAACCACATAAGGATGGGAAATAGTATAACACTGGGAGTTTGGACCTTATATAATGCGTTTTTAGTTTTGAAATTTTTGAATGCTAATGAACAGACAACAGCTGCTGAGAGACATTGAATTGTGGAAGGGACTGCTGAATTAAACCACCTTTAGGAATACCTTAACTTTAACATGGAAGGCTGAAAATGTGTTACGTTGTTCCAAGGAAACAAAAGCTTATAGATTCCTTCCATGTTAATAGAGATCAGATTTGACTAGGGGAGACTTCCTGAGTATCTTGGCTACAGACAGGGAAGAGGAAGCTAAGAAAGACTACAAGACAGGTGACATGGAAGCTGATCCCTCTTCAAGGGACCAGCTTGGACACAAGATGAGACATGATAAATCTTGTTGGCTACATAGCCTCATGATTAATTATTACATGCCATCCTTTCATGTGGCATGGAGGGAAATTTATATTACTGTTTGGTTGTACAGTCCAAATGGACTTCTAACGTTGACAGATACCTTTTAGCTGCTCAAACACAGAATAAAAAAATCATCTTTAACCGACTTGTGCACGTTGCACATTCCATAGTTGTGTTAATGAAAATATGTGTTACCTTTAAAAGTTTGTGTGTTTTCAGAGCAAGAGGACCAGACACCAATAAGAACAGGTGGCCCAGAAGATCCAATCTCTCAGGGTGCATTTGTTGCACTTTCCACAGAGTTCTACATCCAGAGCAGCTTCAAGGCTACTGGCAGATAATGGTCCAGCTTCACAGACTACTCTAGCCAGACTTCAGATAAGTCCTACATTTTCCCACCTTACCAAGACTAGACAACAGCTAGCTCTCCTAGGACTTGACCATTATCTTAATTTTCTCAGAGTCTCCTAAAGATGTCCTCATTCCCAGAAAACAGGGTGCAGTCTAGAGAACACGATGTCCAAATTCCCAAGAGGTGTGGTGGGTGGTTTTGGGTTATTTGGTAGGTTATGGATATTTGTCATCATTTAGTGGTGATATAGGAATATGGGATAAGAAGATGACTGTTAACCTCAAATGTTTTACAATGGTGTAGACTTTGCTATATTGATACAAATTTAAAGTTACTTTTGTTATAATGTATGTATGTTTCTATGCTTGTTTGTGGTTTTATGCTTATGCAGCTCATTTTCAAATGTAATGTATAATTAAGAAATACAGGTTTCTAGTTAGCCATCTATAATAATCAAACTTGTAATCATGTTAGGTATGTTTTCAAGGTTAAACAGATATATATCGATAGACAGATGGTTGTCAAACACTTTAAGACCTACAGAATATGACATTTAAGATGTTTAATAATCTGAGCCTCTTATGACAGTAAGACACATCTGCTCCCGGCAGCACCAATCCACTTCATCAAAGGATGATGGGCATCAAAGAACCTCCATTTGGAGCTTGCTTTCAATTCATTTATAGAGAGAATGAACCCAGGAAAGAAAAGGTATTCTGGATATATTCGCTATAAATACATGTTTTCACAATTTTTTGTATATGAAATATATAATAGACAAAGTTAATAAGCAATTTGGGAAGATTGGTCAAATATCAGTCTCTTTCCTGATGTGGATAGAAATAAAAGGTATGAGGACATGATTATAGATGGCATCTTAGGGAACATTAAATGAATTTTATGGATTTCTGACAGAACTGATTAAATGATGACCAGATGTGGTGACACACTCCTGTGAACCCATGTGGAGAAAAACCCCTGTAAATTAATATGGAGACACACTCCTGCAATTTCAACACTTGGAAGACTGAGGCAGGAGGAGCCTGGTTTTTGGGACAGCTTGGGGTATATATCCAGACTCTGTCTCAAAAAACAAAAACAAACAAAAAAAAATAAAGGAAAAAGAACAACAGTAATGGAATGACTTTAGCAAACTTCTTGAATAATAATTCACCATTATAAACACAGCCCTGTTGGGCACAAATGCAGTTGTTAGTTATTCAGATGTTCTGGTTGTTGTTTTCCCATCATCACTGCTGGAGTCTCACACAGTTAAGAAACTGGTCCCTGGAGATGTTTATCCTGAACCAAACAACAATGAAGAGGTGACGTCCCTTCCTAGATCTCTTCCCTGTCTTCCATTGGATCAGGAGGTTGGTTAGCCACTATGGATAGTATAAAGGGAGGAACAGGGTTGGGTTTTTTACCAGAGGCCAAAACCAGTACGTGGCTGAAAATGTATTTTCCCCATTTTTGTAAAATGAATCAGAAATTATCTCTTTAAAAGATAGTGATTCACTCCCTGAAGAGTAATTGAATTGACTCCAGAACCACACTTTCTGGGCATCACCCATGCATCCTGCTCACCATCCAGTTTGCTCTGACTGCAGACCTTGAGACTTCTTCCTGCAAGCAGAACTAAAGAAGAATTCACTTCACCTGAACAAGTCCAGGACTAGTATATGGAAATGGCATTATATTTGTGCCTTTTGAGTTAATTCTGTTTGAATGTCAGGAGTTTTGGAAGTCAAAACTAATTTTTCTGTCTCTCATGCTTAAATCAGAGGTAAGTAGACTATATAAGAAATTTCTAAATAAACTCCCATTAGGATTTGAGCATTAGGGGACATTTGTCATCTCGGTGGGGACCATGGCCTTCACAGCAGGTCAGCTGTCCCTTCTGTTTGTTGCTCAACCAGATCGGGACTCTCTGGAAAGCAAGTTAAGCTAGAGGAACATAGGAACCCAAGCTTCTGCCTTCAGGGTTCATCTCTTCACAGAGAAAATTTTATGTAAAACCTTCTCTTTATTAGCTGTGTGGGGAGAAAGACTTATTGTTTATCTACAAATTTAGAAAACATACGTGAAAGAGCCTCTCATAATAAAATGAGGTAGTTTGAGAAAGCATAAAATAACGAGGTGTCACATAAAGGAAATGTGAGCGAGTTTGAGGCCAGCCTGGGATACATGAGACCATACCTCAAGAAATAAACTCTGCTGAGATAATGAGAAAAGACTCAGGAGATAAATGCCTTATCATATAGATTTGAGGACCTGATTCCAAACCACAGAAAACACTCTAGTTAGAGCACACTGTGCTCTTCAGAATCCCAGTGGTTCTAGGGAGATGAGAGACAGAGGAGAGTGGACTGCATCTGGAGGGCCAGCCAGCCTGACTCATGCAACATGAACAACAAAAGAGAAAATCAATCTCTACCAAGGTAAAGACAACAGCAGCCTAGGGTGCCCTCTGCCCTTCCTGTGTGTGCTGCGGCATGTGTGTGTACAAACCAGCACCAACAGTGCACACACACACACACACACACACACACACACACACACGAAAATGCATTGACACAGTATTTCTTATCTCATGTTTATAAAATTCCAGCAGACCAGGGGGTAAATATTTTAGAATAAGTGGGCAGAAAATCAATACCTATTGGTAATATTTAATGACTAACGGTAAAACTGATAAAAAAAAAATACATTCTCATATTGATAGAGTCAATATGAACACAGTTTCTTGGGGCAATTTCTTTGAGATCCATACTTTTTAAATCCTGGACTTGCTACATGACTCCTTCCAAGATATTTAGGATTCTGACTCACTCCACCTAAAGTATCCCAGCACCTGTGCTCCTGGGGACCAGGCATTCACAGTTTACAGATGATAACATCTGTATTCAGATTCGTTGCCTTAGCCCCTGAGATAGAAGCTGACATTTAGGGTTGTAACATAACCATCTGCACCACTGACCTATTTGGAAATGAACACTGTAGAAGCTCCAAGGGAATCTTTTGGGCATTTCTATCCTTGTATCACTATGGCTGCATTGAGCACACTGCTGTGTTCCCAACCAGAGTCAGGCTGAGTGGGGTGACCTTGTAATTCTCAACAGGCCAGATATGCATTTGTATTTCTGTCTTACAAATGAGGAACTTGAAGATCAGAGCATAAGATGCATTCTCAAGGCAATAAAACTAGTTACAGTGAGGGTTGGGGTGGATTAGTCAGGCCTGCCAGCCTCATTATCACACCAGCAAACAATCTTGTGTAGACTCTGTGACATGAGCCTAAGAGGACAAGTCTCCTGACATTGTGTCTGAAAACTTTCTGGATAGATGCCATAATGTCTGGACTCACTTGAGGGAAGGTCAGGAATAGTGGGGAAACAAGGTATAAGTAGTTGTAACAAATGTCCACAACCAGACACTCTCACTGATTCTGGGGAGAGTTAAGTGAATTCAAATAATAGGAACACTATCTATATGCCCCAACAGCAGGTATCTGAGTAGAAAGTCCTCAGAAGATCCATCCATGGAAGAGCAAACCCCAAATGAGAAGCTCTGTGGCTGTAGAAACTCATACAGTGCTGTAACTTGAAATCATTTACTAAAAACTGTTGCATAGGAATCCATAAACACCTATGAAAGGTTTGACAGATACTTAACCTTTTGTCAGTATATTTTCAAACATAACAGGGTCAGCTTATAAATGCATGAGATACTCTGGCATAGTCAGTTCATAACTGATTGATGTGGCCAATAATCATGTCCACCAGCTTACTATCCCCTTGTGTTCCAGGGACCCCGAGGCTGTACCATTTAACATGAGTCTGGTGAATGAGAGCATCTCAGAGGAATTCATTCTCTTGGGGTTTTCAGATCGGCCATGGCTGGAGCTGCCATTCTTTGTGGTGTTTCTAGTGTCCTATATCTTGACCATCTTTGGGAATATGATGATCATTCTTGTGTCCCGCCTGGATGCCAAACTCCACACCCCCATGTACTTTTTCCTCACTAACCTGTCCCTGCTGGACCTGTGCTACACCACAAGCACAGTCCCACAGATGCTCATCAACATATGCAGCACCCGGAAGGTCATCAGCTATGGTGGCTGCGTGGCCCAGCTTTTCATTTTCCTGGCCTTGGGTTGCACTGAATGTTTTCTCCTGGGTGTCATGTCCTTTGACAGGTTTGTAGCCATCTGTCGGCCTCTCCATTACTCAGTCATCATGCACCACAGGCGCTGCCTCCAGTTGGCAGCTGCATGTTGGATCAGTGGCTTCAGCAACTCAGTATTGCAGTCTACGTGGACTCTTCGGATGCCACGGTGTGGTCACAAGAAAGTGGATCATTTCCTTTGTGAGATCCCTGCCCTGCTCAAATTGTCCTGTGTGGATACCACAGCAATTGAGGCTGAGCTATTTTTTGTAGGTTTTGTTTTCCTTTTAATACCTGTGACTCTCATCCTCATCTCATATACTTTCATTGTCCAAGCAGTGTTGAGAATAAGGTCAGCTGAAGGTCGGCGAAAGGCATTTGGGACATGTGGCTCCCACCTAATTGTGGTGGTACTCTTTTATGGTACTGCCATCTACATGTATCTGCAGCCTCCTTCCCCTGCCTCCAAGGACCGGGGGAAAATGGTGTCCCTCTTTTATGGGATCATCACACCCATGCTGAACCCCCTCATCTATACCCTTAGGAACAAAGAGGTAAAGGGAGCATTTAAGAGGTTGATAACAAGGGTCTTCTTGGTCAGAAAATAAGGAATACCAATGATAGCCCTATTAATATAAGCTCTTACAGCTTGATGAATCATACTATTTTTTTTCTTATGGCACTATTATGATGATCCTGTGAAAATAAAATCTTGAAGCCAGAAACCCATATTCGTGTTCTGCTGCCTAAATATATCCATTTCACAAGCTGTGAGAGTGACCTTTTATGATCTTCCAAAACTGCTAACCTTATAAGCTTCACACTTTCAGGTTTTACTGCCTTTTTGTTCTTGGTGAGGTTTCTTAGACATCTCAGGGTCTGAAGTACATGTTTGTGGATCTTTTCCCCAATAATACATTTTAATTACATGAATATCTCATCCACATGCAAAGATCAGAACTCTACTCTTCTTTTCTGACATGTGTTGAGCTAGTAAAATTCTGTAAAAACTGTCTATGGCTTCTGCTCCCTAATCAGAAGTACACACTTAGGTGGCCTAGAGTGAAATTTCACACTCTTTAAGAAACACTATACTAAAAAAATACAATGAAAATTTTTGGCAGTTCTAATCAAATCTTCAATTCTTCTTATTTTTATACTTTCTACTTCTCTTAATGTCTTACAGAATCTCATATGTCAAAAATAAATAAAAGAATAAATAAATAAATAAATAAATAAATAAATAAATAAATAAATAAATAAATAAAGCTGGATTTTACAATCTGAATCAAACTTATTTTTGGCATTTTGAACAATTTCTTTTTTCCTTACATTTCTCTCCTTTAACTATTAAGGCACTACATGCAGTTTAAATGATTCACAAAAGCTCATCATACAATGATTTCCACCACTTATTTAATTCACTTTTCATATGCAAAAAGAATGCTTATTGAATTGTTATTAGTTCCCTTGAGGTAGAACATACCATGATCCATACATCTTCCATATGGCTTTCAGAACCCAGCAAAGTGCTGAAGAATTTTTTTTATGTGTACTTGTGTTTTGTCCACCTATATGTCTATGCAGCATGTGCATGCAGTGTTCATGGAGGGTAGAAGGCGGCATTTGATCCTCTGGAACTAAAGTCACAATTATTAGACCTCATGTAGATGGTGGGAATCGAACCCCAGTCCTCTGGAAAAGCAACTAGTGTTCTTTGGTTCCCAGTGTCTACATGGCTACACACAACCATCTATAACTACAGTCCCAGGAGATCTGACGCCCTCTTCTGAACTTCTGGCCTCTCTGGGTAATGGGCACAGAGGAGGTGCACAGATAAACAAGCAGGCCAAACACCAATACTCATAAGAATAAATGATTCAAAAGGACAATGGAATGAGAGAAAATTATTCTAAAAATGTATGAAATAAGAATAAAAGCAAGAAATAAGCCGGTAAAATTTAACAAAAATCAATATACATACATCTACTTTATTTCATACAGTACAAGATACTGAAATATGTTTGACAACAAATTCCAAAGGAACCTCACCTGAGATAGCACACTGATAATAACACTGTGCTGGTTGATTTTGTCAACTTCATGTATGGGTGATAGGATTATTAGAAGCAGTAGAACTTGTCTGTTTGTATTTAATTTCAACAAACACATTCAGTACACTCTCTCATTTACACTTTCTCTTATCTGCACAATATATATTACAAGTAACAATCATATCATGCCAATGTGCAATACTTTTACTCTATTTTTGTAAAAAGAAAAAAAAATTACCTTATGTTATTAAAGTCCATTGAAAAGATCCAGATTGTCATAGCCACTTATGACATATAAGCTCTTGACCCACTCTACACCATCCAGAAGAAATATATTTTATAAAGTAAACCTATTTTAGTCAATGTACAAAAACATGCGATTTTGTATTAATGTGGTTATATGTGATGTTTCAACACATATAGATACTGAGTGATGCATAAATCAGATTGAACATCTCCAAAATGTGTGTTATGGAAACATTCAAGATCCTTTCTTCTAGCTTCTTGAAATATACATATGAAATCATTGTCTTCTGTCACCCTACTGTGCAACAGCACACCAAAATATCTTACTCTTATCTAACTGTAGTTCAGCCTCCATTGATCACTACAAGTTTGGTAACCAGTGTTCTACTCTTTATTTCTCAAGGCCAGTGGGCTCTTTTTTATAAATAAAAAAGAATTTTCTTCATTTTTACCTACCAATCCTGGTTCCCCTCCTCCTGTCCCCTCCCCCTGCCTCACCTCCAGAGTGGGTAAGACCTCCCTTGGGGAGTCAAGAAAGTCTAAGGCCAGTGTTTTGTCTCCAACATAAGAGCTGATGCATTGCCTGTCTTCAGGTGTTTGGGTCATTTCACTCAGCATAATGACCTTCGGTTCTAACTGTTGCACGAAGGCTTTCATTCCTTTCATATCCGAGTAACACTCCACTGTGTATACTGGAACACATTATGCTGCATTTTCTTTAACAGTCATAACTTGATGGCCATTTCTCTTGTATTGTAAGTAGTGGTCAAGGGGGTACAAATGGCTATACTCCCTGTTGAATATCCAGTAGTGAAACGTCTGGGTCATATGTTAGCTCCATTTTTTATTCTTTGTGGACCTTCAAACTGTCTGCCATAGTATCTTGCTTACTTAAACTTTGTTCTGTAACAGCTATTTTCTTCCTACACCCTCACCAGTCTTATCTTTTTTGATAACACCTGGTCTTTGCTCACTGTGGCTTTGATTTGCATTTCCCTGATGATCAATAACATTTAGCGAAATCTATTGATTGTTTTTATGTCTTTTTTTGAGAAATATCTGTTTAGCTCTATTATCCATTTTTAATATTTTTCAAATTTGTTCTATTCATTTTACATATTTGGAAATGCTCAATGGTGTTATAGTAGTTCTAAATCCACAACTTATGTTTTAAAGGTTTTATTTCTTTTTTAAAATTAAAATATATTTACATCTTCTCTCACCTTCTTTTCTCTCCTTCCAACTCTTCCCATGTCCCCCACCCAGTCCCCATCCTCTCTTAAACTCATGGCCCATTTTTCTTTAATTGAGATATATAGTGATATGACTGACTACTTACTTGATATTGGATAACCAATTAGGGAGCTGACCCCTGGGGAAAACTAATTCTCCCCCTTCAGCATTCCTCATTGGCAAATTCCTCATTGTAGTTGTTTGCTTAGAGGGAGGGCCCCTGAGATTTCCCCACTTCCACTTCAGTATTTCTATTGGTATTGTTCTTGTTCAGGTCATGTTCAGGCAGACATATTGTTGGGCTATTGTAGGTGAGGCAGCCCTGTCATTTCTAGGAGTCACAATCTCACATCAAATATCCTGGTTGTCTGCCTTATAGTCTTTCCACCCCCTCTTCATCAATGTTCCTGAGCCTTAAGCCCAGGAGTTGTATTGTAGATATACCCATTAAGCTGTGTACCCCAGGATCAGCTGTTCTCTCCATTTTGAACAGTTGTGATTTTTCTGTAATGGTTTCTGTCTGCTACAAAGAAAAACTTTTGATGATGGGTAAGAGCTAAATTTATCTGGCTATAAGGATAAGCATGTAGAATGTTGTTAGGAATTATGACGGGTTGGTAAAGTGACGGTAGTAGATTGTCTTTTAAGATCCATGACCTCCTGCCCATGGGTCATTGGCTAGGTTTGCAGTACCAGGCATGATTTCCCTCCTGTTGGGCAAGAATTAAGTCCAATTAGAGAGATGTTGGTTACCACCAAGATATAAGTGCCACTATCACATCCTTAGTGAGATCTTGCCACGCTATTAATCATTATGGTTTATAGACCTCACAGCTGGGTGGGGACTATTGGTTGCTTTCCCCCCTTGGAAAGCTTGCATTACTGTGAAAGCTAGTCCTCAGGGAGGAGGCTTCCAGTTCAGATCCTCTGAATTCTGTGTCTGAAATGCACGGTATCTTCAACAATAGGGATGTGCCTTCAATCTAAGGAGTGTTCTGTACTGGACTTATTGATTCCCTTAATCAACAACTTAAAGGGGTTATCACACATGTACTGAATATTTTGTTAGCTTTAGCTCTTAGAGTGAGCATTGTCAGCCCTAGTGGTATAACTTCATTTAATCTATGTATGCATTTGTATACACATACAATCCTATGTGTTGTATGCAGTTTTAGGTAAATAAAGATAACATTTTAATGGCTTTTCCCAACATTCTTAGTATTATTTCCCCTCTCCCCTCCCTCTCCTTCTGTAATGACTTCCCACAGTAAAATCCCCAGACCTGGGTTTCCCGTTTCCCCTTCGTATCATTTGGCCCCTGCTCTTCCACTCTCTAGAATTCATTCTCCTACCTGCCTCCTGTTCCCCCTCCACTGTGGTACCTTTTTACTTCCCTGGTTTCTGCAGTTACTCAAGACTATATACTCACATCTCTCCCATCTGGGAACCACAGATGACAGAGAACATGTGCTTGTCTGTCTGGGTCTGGACCACCTCATTCAATATAATATTTTCTAGTTCCATCTGGAAGTAACCTAATCAATTGAGTGAAAGACCCCACAAGGAAAACTTCAAATCTCTGAAGAAAGATATTGAGGAAGTCACTAGAAAATGGAAAGACCTTGCTGTGAAACCTAAAACACTGAAATGTTAGAGGAAAACATAGTCAGTACTCTCCAAGATATCAATGTAGAAAGGGACTTTCGGAATTAGCCTAGAAATTAAGGCCAACAATTGACAAGTGGGTCCTCATGAGGCAAAAAGTCTTCTGCGTAGCCAAGGAAATAATCAGCTGAGTGAACAATAAGCCCACAGAGTGGGAGAAAAATCTTTGCCAGTTGTACTACTGACAGAAAATGAATATCCAGAACATATAGAGAACTCAAAATAGAGTCAAAAAATAAAATAACTCACTCAAAACATGGGCTTTAAATCTTAACAGAAAATTCTTAAAAGAGGACACAAAATGGCTAAAATAGCATAAAATGTTCAGCACCCTTAGCAATTAGAAAAATGCAAATCAGAACCCTTTTGCGATGCCACCTTACTCTAGTCTGAATGGATAAGATCAAGAGAACAACTGACAATAAATGCTGGTGAGGATGTGGGAAGGGAGCCCTCATTCCTTGGCGGTGGGGCAGCAAACAGTGCAGACACATGGAAGTCAGTACAGAGAATTCCCAAAAAGCTAAAAATATTAATAAATTTTCCATATGACACAGCTCTACTGCTCCTTGGCATTTGCCCAAAGGAATCAACATCATATACCACAGATGCTTGCTCAGCCATGTTCATTGCTGCTCTATACATAGAAACTTAGAAATGGAGACAACTGAATTATCTTCAACTGATGAGTGGATAATGAAAATATCGTACATATACACCATGGAATACTATTTGGCTATAAAGAAAAATAAAATCACTACCTTTAAAAAAATAGCTGTACATATATTTTACATCAACAAATATGTGTGTGTGTGTGTGTGTGTGTGTGTGTAAGAAATTATGGTTGACCTCACATTTCCTTGTTAATGATAATTGTAACTTTTTAATCAGGGTATGTGCAAATGTACTTTATGGGTATGCGTATGAGTGGCCATATGTTCATTTGCATGTGGAGAATTTGACATTAAGTTTCTTTCTCTGGGG